TAGGTGGCGAAATTCCCATTAGGTTGTGAAGTTATGATATCATTTATTTCGTTTTTTACTTATGAAATATAATAATTTTTACAAAAGAAAACTGTTTTTTAATTATTTTTTTTTGTTTCATTATTAAAGAAAAATTTCGAAACTTCGAAGACTCTTTGTTTTTCCTTGTCTTACATATGTATCAGTTTATTTCTCCTGTGCATATAATTAGCGTCGGTGAAGATTATTTGCGCGTGCTTTTTATTAACGATTGTTTCTAATTATTTTGTAGGTGTCGTATTAATTTATATGATTCTCTGATTAATAAATGTGAATTAATTAATTAGTATTGGAGTGCTTTATTAAAACAAAAAGAACGTATCCATGACTATTTATAACAATCGGAGGTCACTTAACTCTCAAGTATTTTTAGTTGGACTACAGCGTAACTCTCATTGATAAAGTAATATTACCGACTGATATACAGCAATTGAAATACTACTAATAGGCATATTTTTTCATAATCATATTCTGCTTCCAATTCCATAAATTATTAATATACAATTATCGCAGCAATTTATGTAAATTACTTTGATAACAATTAACATAATTAATTGTGCGCACACCGCAAATAAAGATATTAACATAAATTAACCACGAGTATATTTGATTTATAAATCATTTTCAGTAGAATCGAATTCTTCCATAGCGCTTATATTTCTAAATCTAACAAGGTCGAATAAGAAAACATTTTATTGACAAACAACCAAAATAACGAAGACACAACGGATTCTAACAAACCTTATTAATTAATTTACACGCGATAACAGAATCCTAGATTCAGGGAACCCAACTCAAATTCATTGCAAAATTTGGAAATACTATACATTATTAAATTGGCCCGAGACTCTAAAATGAAGAAAACTGCCAGTGTGGAATCCAAGAAGAAACTCCCTTTTTTCGGAGATCTCTCCTGAATTCGACACCTCGCTTCGACAAGCCCATTTCTTGGGTACAGAAGTTTCTGTTCTTATCTTATTGGTGGGGTCTCTGAATATCGGGGGTTGAAATGGTTTAACTATACTATGCTATATACCTAATTGACTGAATTTACAATTGTATGGATAATTTTGAGACTAAACTGAACTTACAAGTAACCCTACACCTTCCTCTTGTGACTTCGTATAGCAACACGGCACGGATTAGTCACTCTCAGTTAATCTATTCTTTATTCTTACAGCTTGGAAAATCCGCATAAATACCAGCTATTTGATCTATTATTATTTTCCTAACAACTTTTTTAAATATCTTGGAATTCCTACATCTTTTCGAATGTATTTCGCGCGTTTTTAGAAATATCGATTTATCCCTTCACCATGGGCTGAACCGACGCAGTTAATCGATAGCAGATGCCCAACACATGGCCCCAACGATTAAGTCTACTTGTTCAAAATAATTTCGAAATTTCATGAGGCCTTCTCCGAAGGACTGCGATGTTCGAGCTTTGCAAATTTATTACTCCCGGTGACAAGAGGCACCAGTTTCTCAACGACTTCATAGCGAAGCTAAACCTACTTGAAGACCCTTAACTTTTCAATAATTATTCTTGACTGAGTCGACTCATCCGTTCTGAGAACTAACAAATAATCTATCACGAATTCCGGCTTTTGTTACAACTCTTACAGTAATTCAGTCTTAAATTATTAATTATGTAATACTATTGCCCAAATGTTATATTAACTTCAAATGTGTTATTTACCAGCTATGCGACAGTAGACAACAAATTTTAAACAAATTCTATTGTATTAGTCCCTGTACTATCCAAATTCATAGGTTTTAAACTTGATACATTGGCATTGTATCTTAAGACTACTTTCTTTTCAGAACTATTGATGAAATGTTTAATTTTAAACTTAACAGATATGTTATCGAAGAATATCAGTATAAGATTCTCGCCGATTCAAAACATCTAAAAAATCAGTGAAACAACAAAAAATTCGTAATAATTAATAAATAATATTATTTGTCTCTTGCTTTTACACTGAAAGAAATGCGTTTTATTCTTTATTAGAATTCTATATGCCATTATAAGACCATTGTATACTATATGTGACAGTTAAACAGGTGAATATTGGATATAAAACGCGTACTGCTAGCACAGTTGTATAGTGACTATAAACCTTATTCTTTATTAAATGATTGTATAACTAGTATAAAACGTTTTTTATACCCTTTACGAAATAATAGCAATAACTGTTATTAAAGTGTTATCGTTATTAGAACATCTAGTACTGGTTATAAGTTTCATAATAATACATTTATTAAACTGTTGTATACTCTGTATGAGTTAAAAACGTATGACATTAAGTTTTCAGAAATTTTATTGGATAACTGTAATTACAAGCTAAGGTTCTAATGTAAACATACATAAAACATACTATAAAGCATCCCCTGAAAGGTTGAGCTTCTTTCCATCTAATTTTATTTCCTCTGGTTGACTGACTTTATACCCATGCTCTTCTGTCACCGTTAACCTTCTGTTCCTCCATCTTATGTAAAACTTAACATCAGCGATTTCTAATAGGACCTACAAAATAATTATTTTTAAGATTTAGACAAGACTTACATTTGAAAAAACAAAACAATTGCAAGCCATAAAACAGTTAGATACTTACATAATAATTTTCCATTTCACACAACGCGATATGATCATGTATCCCACAAAACATGTGCACATACTGCCCATTTTCATGAAACTAGACGTGTAATAGTCGTAAGTCGATGCACAGCGGACTGTCGGAAATTTTACGATCATAATCGATTTATGCACCGAGAGGTGACGATCACTTAACCATTATAAGACGCGTTTTACACGTTAAAAACGGAAACGTATTCGGTATAAGAACGAATAATTATGTTAATATAATTGTTATATACAAATTCGGATGCTGGTCTTTATACAACAAATCTTCCCTACTATACAATTGGAACATAAAGTCTATAACACCTAATAATGTATAAGTAATTCATTATAACCTTTATTTCATAGATGCATAAGGTGTATTAAGCACCTTCCAGTTAAACTCATTGAATAAGGAGTATGGAGATGATTGCTTTTTTTTAATTAAAGTTGTATATTGGTTATAAAAGTTTTAATATGCGCTATACACATTATTCTAGATAAACAGTTTAATAAGCCCATTTCTTTCAGTGTAACTGGAGTGGCTCTGTATACTCAAGTTTGTAAGCATAAAATCAACAGTACTAGATACTAGACCTTGATACAAAGTCACATACCTACATGTTGAGGTTAAAACTAGTTAGTATCCACATTCAATTTAACTGCTCCATCTACTCTAGAATTTGGATTACATAAATGGAACATGTCTTTTAGAATGACAGTTTCTTTAGCCACTACTCTTTAAGAACGTGACATATAAATTCAAAGAAATGCAACATTTATACCAGAAAATTACAGTGTTACAAGGGTTACTTATTTCTCTTTGGACGAAATTTGTGAGTAACTGTTGCTGAATAGAAAGGGCTTCATGTCAAGTACCAGCGAGAAAATTCGTTTAAGAAACGAAACGAACCAGCGATTTTGCATCTGTCAAGTCATCAAGTGTCCTGTGATACGTCGAGGGGTGGGGGAACATGAGTGGAGTCGTCTCTCGAGACGTCCTGCTGTAATACGGGTAGATAGGCACTAAACTTATACCCTGCCGCTGGCGTGCATTTACGGCTCGGTATTCGATCCATTTACCAAGGTTTGCGACGTTTAGAATGAAGACATTTGCAATGAAAATAATTTATATTTAAACGGGTTAATAGTTTTCATTTAAACTTCGGTTACGGAATTAAATATTTTGTTATTATATTAAAGATGTTCATCGTAATCAATAGGGCTCGACACTTCAGTGCATGAATAGGGCGTACAGGTGGAAAATTAAGAAACAATATTGTTTTTATTGCACGATTTTTTCAAATAGATCAGATTTATTATTAATTTTAAACAATCTACTTAGCAATTGACATCACTTTCAATAATAATTTTGTTTCATATGATTCTCCTACGTAAGATTCTGCTAGCATCGTTAACTTCTGCATCTGCGCCCACCAAGCATGGTTATGATAACCTTCCAAAACCAACTTGTTTATCCCTGCGGATTGGAGATATCTAGCAATTTCGCTTAGTATTTTCTCAAAGGTATTAATATCTATCGTCGATCATGTATTGTTACACGTGAATCGAATGGCGTATTTTTGATAAATCTCAAGTGTCTCCTTACGCGATAAATAATAAAAATTCGGCGTTTTTTGACTGAATTTTCACATAACTAGCGCTTATTTCACGAAACTCGTCTCTTTCACAAATAGGAACTCCAAAAATTGCTACAATCTAAAATTATAATTGCTCTCAATAAAAATGCTTTCATCATCAAATATGTTTTATTAGGTGCTTCATTTACAAATTTCTCTATTGCATTTTGTGTAATAAAGTTGATAAATTTATTTCGTTATGTTTAATTAACTTAAATTAGTATAAAGTTCTTTTAAATATCGAGGTCTAGCATACACTTACGTGTGGGGTTGCGCCGGTCCTGATTACCGAGATGTCACAGAAAAAAAGAAAAATGTGCGCGATATGCACAAAAGGAAGATTTCAACAGGAGTGTAAGTTAGCGAGTTTGAAGCGTGGCAGAAGTTGTAAAGGAAGCAAAACGAAAAGGAGGCGTCTCAGCAAGGAAACTGGAAAATGGAGCAAATTAACTTAACAGAACTTAGGCTTCCTGTCGACGTCGCAATCATTGGAGATTCTCAGAGAATCTTACAGTAGAGCTGCTAAGCGAGGAATGAACAGAATTAATGAGAAAAAGATTCTAAAAGAATATTTCAGTGCAATATTAAGTTTATTACTACAATGAGAAAACGAATTTGTTTAGTTTGTCTTAAAATACAAACATCACTTCTTTGAAATCAAATGATGTATTTTAAGGAAAAGAAAAAAATTTGAAGCATACCTGATAGAGTTTGATAATGTGGGGATGGTCCAACCTCTTCATTATGTCCACTTCCCTGTAGACCTTCTGTAGGTTGCTGGCGTCTAATTGGGACTTGTCAATTATCTTAATGGCAACCTGGAAGAAATCGAATCAAAATTTAGCTTTCTTTTGAATGTGAAGTTTTATCCGTTATCTTTTACCACAATAATAACCTTTCTAACATTTACAAACAAAATGTTTAACAATTTCGACGAAGCATAAACATTTACGATAATATAATGTACACAAGCGTTCGCAAAAGTGTTTGGTAACTCTGTAATAGTAAAACAAGGAATTAAGACGTTATAAAAACTGATAAAATGTTTCATTTAATAACATGTATGTTTCAGGAGTTAGAGCAGACATTTGGTATTTGTTATACGGTTTAACATCAGATAAAGCTAAATAAATATATACGTTTTTTAATACAGAGAGATTAGAGCACATGCGACGGATTAGCTAATGAGTATGATAACCGTTAAAAAAGCAAGTAATGTAGGTACACTGCAAATTATAAAAATCATCAAAATTTGGTGTTACAGTGATAAGTGTATCATTTCCTGTTACTTGTAACATGCACAAACGAAATTTGAACTCAAAAACAGAAACCCGTATGTCCGAAACGTTTAGTCTTTGTATTTCAAGTCTATAACTGACTTTATAGTTCCTTAGCTGTAGAGGTGCCTAGGGTTTCGATGGATATATCCCTTCGGTTTTAAGTTGGCCACCCTGGTGTAGACGCGTAAATTGGGTGAATATGACGAGAGATTAGCAAGGGGGTTTAATTATACGTTACTTTCCCTTGGAAATTGAAATCCGAGGAAGACGTTCCAAAACCACCGTAGATATAACGCTTAATTCATACAATGGAATTATGCAAAGTTAAAATATTGGAAAATTTTTTATCTGATGAAAATTTGGAACCCTGTACGTTACAAATAAAAATGATATTATATTCCATAATATGTAAACATCTCACTAATTTTTATCGGGTCGTAATAGTGAAAATTGTATGTACTTAATTGCTTTTTGTATACAAATGATTATAAAGGGATCCGATAGATGTCCAAAATTGAGCGTCGAAGAAAAACCGCTTCAAATATTCTTCTTTCGAGTAAAAACTCGATATACCGTATGCGCCTAAAGTATGGAATAAATTCAGTAAAAAACAAATTTTTTTGGGAAAAATCCTCGAACAGGTCGATTTTTAATTTAAAAAATACATATTTTAGCATAAAAGGCGATTTTCAACCGTCATTTGTTTTCGTGTAATGACGGCATCGAAATTTTTTTAAATAGCAACTCCCTATTTTTTTCTTGATTCTGAAAGATCGTTTCATTGTCGATCCGACAGTATTAAAATGTTGCCATCTTACATAGGAAAGTTTTCGAGTAAATGACGATTGAATGTTAGAAAACCCAAATCAATTAAAATAAAGCAAAAACGTTATCAAATTTAGTTTTTCGAAATGCATGAAGTTTTTTATGGATCACGTAGGTGTAAATCTTTACAAAGTGTCACTGTCATACCGACTTTCTAAGTATTGTAAGCGATATAAAAATTATTGTTGAATTTAAAGTATTATGGCACATTTAACTGTCACACAAAGAATTGAAATTTTAATTCTTATCGGATGCGGGGATAAGACTAGAACGCAGCAGGAAGTTTGCGATTTATTTAATGAAAAACATCCAGATCGCCGTATCAGCCAATCAACAGTCAGTAAGATAGAATCTAAATTTAGAGAAACTGGCAATGTTGTAGATATTCCAAAACCTGGACGTCCAAGCGTTAGTGAAGATCACAAACAGAACATTTTGATAAGTATGGTAGATAATCCTCATAATACTTCACGATTGGTTGCATTAAACAATGAAATTAGTCAGACCACAGTGCTACGTATCCTGAGGCAGGAAAAATATCATCCCTACAAAATTCAACTTGTGCAGGAACTCAATGAAGACGATCCCGACCGCCGCTTACACTTTTGTGAAATTATGATGGATTTATGTCAAGTAAATAGAGATTTACACCGGCAAATACTTTTTTCAGACGAGGCCACGTTTTGTCTCAATGGTACAGTGAACCGTCAAACTTGCAGGTATTGGAGTCGGGAAAATCCTCATTGGATGGCAGAGACACATACCCAACACCCACAGAAATTAAATGTGTGGGCTGGAATAGTTGACAACAGAATAGTAGGGCCTTTCTTCTTTGAAGGAACCCTTACAGGAGAAAGATATTTAGAGTTTTTACAAAATGACCTTGTTCCAGCGCTTGCAGTAATTTTTCCTAACGATAATGACCCTGATATTCCTGATGACACCATATGGTTTCAGCAAGACGGTGCACCTCCGCACTATGCGCGCCCTGTTCGAGATTTTCTGGACAATTGTTTTCCTAGGAGGTGGATCGGCAGACGAGGACCGATAGAATGGCCCGCGAGATCCCCAGATCTTACACCCCTGGACTATTTCTTATGGGGCTACTTAAAGTCCAAAGTGTACGTTAATAGACCACATAATTTAGAAGAACTCCAAAATTGTATTATAGATGAAATACACAGAGTTACCCCAGAAATAATTCATAATGTGCAAGAAGAATTTCTACACAGACTTGCGTATTGTCAAGAAGTCGGTGGGTGGCAATTCGAACACTTAATTTAGGTAGAAAACTTAATGAATTGTATTTGCTTGACATAGGAATTGTTATTTTTTTAATGAATAAAATTTACGTTTTCTAACATTCAATCGTCATTTACTCGAAAACTTTCCTATGTAAGATGGCAACATTTTCATACTGTCGGATCGACAATGAAACGTTTCAGAATCAAGAAAAATAGGGGGTTGCTATTTAAAAAAAATGTCGATGACGTCATTACTCGAAAACAAATGACAGTTGAAAATCGCCTTTTATGCTAAAATATGTATTTTTTAAATTAAAAATCGACCTGTTCAAGTATTTTTCCAAAGGCAATATCAACTACAACAGTTTATTTACAATATCGTTTCCTTAGTACCTATTATGACTGCCTACTAATGATTTTTCAAATTTTTGATAGTCCTAACCTAACGTAATATAATTTTTGACAAAATATATTATGGGTATGAAACAATGAATCAAGGTTTATTCCAATAAAATATATCAGGAAAAATACTCTATTTATGAGTACTTATATTTATTTTAAGTTTGTCCAATTTTGTCCAATTTTTTATTTCGGAAACATTTTTTCCAATTTTTCTTTTTTTTTCCGAAACGTTAAATACCTAATAGCAACCAATATAAACGCATTTTTAAGCTTTATCTGTGGAGTTATAAGCTATGTATAGAGGCCACGTATCAGCATGGGTCTCTATCGATGTAAACATGTTTATTTCCGCGATTTCGATGTACTCCAACATATTCACACATTCGTCACAAGTCGAGCAAGGTAAGGCGTGACGCACTTGAGATTTTGTGGAACGCGAGAAAACATCACTGTTATCGGTTTCATTATACAGGTATTGTTCGTTAATTACCATGTCAAAGATAACATTATTTCTAAAAAATTCCACGAATTTTTTTATATTCATTCAATCTTTCCATTCTTTTAAGGTCAAGTAGGTGTAAAAGAAAGAAACATTCATTCGCCGTGAAGTGCATATCTTCTGGGTTATCTTGGCCACTTATTTAAGAGACACCTTCAGGTCAAAACACATTTTCGGCGTTATTTAATTTTGGAATCTATAGTCAAAAAATTAAATCTGATTAAAACTGATATTTTGATACAGACTGACCCTTGTCAGCTACAATTGAACTTTTTTCTACAGACTTTTTACGTAAAACTTAGTGACGGGGTTATTTTTTAATAACGAATATAATAACAATAACGTTATTAGTTTTCTTAATGGTTACCCATAAGACTATTTAGAAAGAGGGTGTTCTGGGTGTTTTTGTAAATAATTTAATATACCCCAGGTGTCCCATTTTGGGTTGCTATGGCGTGGCTGTGTACCTGACTGACCAGAATCACCATTGAAGATGCAAGCAGTGAAAAACGGCGAACCGGTCCGAAGCATTGGCTGAACATCAGGGCGGACCCAAGGGTTCAGACAGCTGCTCCGCCCCCACAGAGCCTACTCCGAGAACAACAAGGAGAGGTCAAAATTCCTAGCTAAGGACGAGCAGGTGCAAGGTTTGTAACTAGCGGCGACCAGATACACATGGGTACATATCAACATGGGTCGTGAAAGCCTTAAAACCACGACTTGCCCATGAAAATTGAAGAACAAGTAGAGCCAGTAAAATGATTTTTCATTTTCTATATACATTAACAAAATGGAATTTAACAAATGAAGTCTCAACTCAAATCAGTAGTAGTAGTATATGAGGAATAATTTTGTTGAGCCTTTTTTCAATTTAAAATCCTATATGTATATCAAAACCAAAAGGGCTGCAACAACAATTGTTTACATAAAAACTATTCCTAATTTTGGGTTAACATTTTCGTTCAAAATAAATTTGTATATACCTACGCCATTAGCTGAAGTTGAGTCTGTGTTTTTCACACTAAATGCCATTTTGTTTATATATTGTTCGCATAAAACTAATGTTCTATAGATATTATTTTTAAATCATTATTTAACTTTCTCTATAAGCTACTGAATCTTAAAATAGGACATCCTATATAATTGTATTATTTATCTCAGAAAGTAAAATGTGTTCATTTACATCACCTACTATACAAATTTGTTCTTCTCCAAATACAACAATGGCACTTGTTTCATAACGCATGTTTTCAATAACTTAATCTCCTGATTGTAAGCAGGATAAATTGAAACCTCTTGTAGATCATAAACAATGGATTTAACCAACGTAAAATATCTCGAGAGATATAAGTCGACCGTTTGGGAAATCACTCTACGCAGATTTTAGATTATATAAAGTAAATATAAGGTTAGACGTCTAGACAATGTGTGGCAAGCAAATTCAACACGTTAATAACGTCTGAAATGTGAGAAAATTAAGCAAAAGTGGTGACAGTAAATAATGATGTGATACGTCTAGTCAAACAACAGGTGCCTTGAAATTAGTATATTATTAGCTAACTAATTTT